AAAACAAGTTAAATTAAATAAATTGAGGATGTGGCAAAAAAAAAGTGGCCACGTCAGCTGGTGCGGTGCAGGGAGGGATTATTTACAAAGTGCGAAGTGTGTGTGTGTCGCACTTTGCATTGTGTCAGGAGAGAGAGAGGAGCACGTTGTTGTTCAGGTGAGGCGGAGGAGCGGGCGAGCGCGCGCAGCTCCGCGTGCTCGGCGGGCTCGGCCGCGCTCGCCACACTCGCAGACATCTACGACGAGGACGAAGTTAGTGCTATGTATTTATATTATTTAGCTCGTTTTAAATCTTATCTCTAGTAGAAAAACGAAATGATATCCTTTAATTAGTGATGTGTGAAGCGCCGGACGGGATGGTGACAGTTGTGTGTGTGCGGGCAGGAGGTGCGGCCGCTCAGCGAGTGGCAGCTGCTGCGGCTGAACGCGCCGGAGTGGGCGGCGCTGGTGGTGGGCGCGGCGGCGGCCGTGGTACAGGGCGCCTGCTTCCCCGTCATGGCGTGGCTGGTGGGCGAGGCCGCCGGGGTGGGTGCAGCTCCATACGGAATGGATGGTGCGATGGATGCCGGTCGCCGCAGACGAGTTACGTTCTGTCGGTCGTCAGATATTCGTGTTGCGGGAGCGCGCCGAGGTGCTGCAACGCGCGGACTTGTTCGCGGGCATGTGCGTGCTCGTGGGCGCGGTGGCGGCGCTCGCCATGTTCCTGCAGAACGCCACCTTCACGCACTCCGGCCTCCGCCTCACCAACAGGCTGCGACACCAGTACTTCTCTGCGATACTGCGCCAGGTCGCTCGCCGTCACGTAACTCCGCAGGGAACTTAAGGATAATATTGTGTCGGACATAAAAATTGATAAAAGCGACGATTAAAGGAGGTGGGATTCTTCGACAAGGCGAGCAACCGCGTGGGCGCGGTGTGCGCGCGGCTGAGCGGGGACGCGGCCGAGGTGCAGGCGGCGACCGGTCTGCGGCTGGGGCTGGTGCTGCAAGGCGTCAGCTCCATGCTCATCGGCGTCGTGATGGCCTTCTGCTACGGCTGGAAGCTGACGCTCGTCGGCCTCGCCATCTTGCCGCTGGTGAGTGCGCCTCGCGCTTCTTGTCTGTGTCCCCGAAAGTGTCACACGGTAATATTTTATCTAGTCCAAAACACATTAATTAAAGTATTGAGCGTTAAGTACAGAGTTATAGCAATAGATAATATATATATGTGTGTATCGATGGTCCATGTTGTGGTGGAGGAAGTCCTCCCGCTGCGCTTTCTGCAGGGTCGCGCTCGACATCACCTCACCTCACCTGACTTTCACACGGACGAGGAATCACACACACCCACACACACAGTGCAGGAATGTAGCGGCGAGGTGTTCGTTGCAGATGTTCGCGAGCATCTTCCTGGAGCGTCTGGTGTCGCAGAGCGCGCAGCGGCTGGAGCGCGCCGCCATGGAGGACGCCACCGCCGTCGCCACGGAGGCCATCGTCAGCATCCGCACCGTGCAGAGCCTAGGTGGGGGGAGTGGTGGGACGTGGGTGTGGGACGTGAGAAGTGGGATGTGGACGTGGGACATGGGACGTGGTGGTGTTGCAGGCGTGGAGCGCGTGTTCCTGCAGCGGTTCAGCGAGGCGCTGGGGCGGGCGCAGGCGGCGGTGGCGCCGGGCATGTGGTGGCGCGGCCTCGTGCTCGGCCTCGACCTCTACGTGCCCTTCATGATCTTTTGCAGCGTGATGGTGTACGGCGCGATACTCGTCGCCCGCGAGGGCTTCGCCTATAATAATGTTATGCTGTCGGTATTTCTTCATTTAAAATACTTTTGAATGGAATAAAATAAATATCCAACTGAGATGTGATCGATGTGG